AAAATAATTAATATATGCTTATATTGATTGATGCAAGGTATTTTAGTTTAACTTTTTTATTTTCAGACATAATTATTATAATTAATAAACTTTCTTAAATTTTGTGATACAATTTTTCTCTCTTATATATAGAAATGGAGGTAGTAGTATATTCCTAAAACATCCTTGAATAACTTAGGCAAATTCCTTTTCTATCCTTCTTGTTTATTTTTATTAAAATACTATGTCAAATTGTGGATGTTGAGCAAGAAAAGGCTATCCAAGCCTTAGCAATAAACTATAGGGAGATATATAAAGAAACAATGTTGGGGTGTATTATTAGGTGAGATATCTTTCTCTCAACTGATCATAATTCTCATTGTCTTTAATTGTTGACTGCTCATGCATTTTATTGCCAATTAACCCCACTTACCCATTCTCCTAATGTTAGTTTATGGTTTTTTTTACAATTAAAAATGTTATCCTCCCTCCTCAATTTAAAGTTGGTAGTTCAAACAGAGTGAACTTATTTTTATTTTAATTAAACCAAAAGAAGAAGGAAAGAAAGGAAATTTGCTTGTTTTATTTACGAATGTCTTGAAATATGATACATTTTAATTATTTTAGGAATGAAATTGCTACAATACAAATAGTTTAGGACATTAAGTGCTCCTCAAAAAATAATTTAAAAGCAAGAATACACTTTAACTTGGATTCACCTGGTATAACAAGTAACATCTTTGATCAAACTTAAGTGTTAGTTAGCATTTTTAATAGTTAACGTCAAGGTATTTAATGTTAAGAGCAAATAAATTATATTTTGATTACTTTAGAGATGAACTTGTTATAACAAATAGTTTAGGATATAGGTATTTCTTGAGGAATAGTTGGCATAAAAAATGCAACTTAACTCTAAAAAATATTACCCAAAATTGACAAGGTAAGATAATGGGCATATTTGGAGTTAATTTATGAAATCTATTCACTACAAACTACTCTCCCTTTTGCCACATGAGCGGTTTCCCCGGTTTAATTAGTTGTCTTCTGGTCTGGTGAGGGTATATACATGATCCACAATGATTCAGTTTTAAACAGAACATGGAATATTTGAAGTAGCCTATTAAAGTAGAACTAGATTCATGGTTAAACTAGTTGAAGATTAGTTCCCGGATTACTGGCTGATATGTGATGAAATCAATTAGATATTTTCTTAATAACAATATTAAAAATATTATTTACAAAAATTACAATTAAAGCATAAAAATATCTTCGAAACGGAGAAAAAAAATTACGTAATATTTTAATATAACAATATTTTAATAATTTATCATTAATTTTTGCTGTAGCATCAATCTTAACCTTATCTTAATAACTACTCTATTTGTATCAAATTATAAGACAATTTAAAGAGAAAAATAAACTTTTGGTCTTTATAATTTTTACTCAACTATCAATTTGATCCGTGAAGGTTTTTTTTTTTAATTCTCTCCTTAAAGTCAGAACAATTAAAAACTTTAATATTTAAACCTTCAATTTCATCCAACATGATATCATTGTGTTAAAATTTTGCTACCAGATGACGTGTTTTAACCAAAGCCAAGTCAGCAGACACATGGATTAAAAATTTGCTACCTCTTTTTTGAAGAAAGTAAAAAAAAAAAATGCCAACATCCTAAGGCTTGGGTGTTTCTCTTCGTCTCTCTTCGACAAATTTGCTCGCGATTGTCTCCTCCATGAAATGATTTTCATATCTCTTTGGTCAGCGATCTACTTTTGTCTCCTCGGCGATACACTCGCAACAACAAAATGTATTTAGTTCCTTTCTCTCTTCTCTCTTCAGGTGATTTCCTTCCTTCTCGATCTTTTCTCAGTGATTTTAAAGGATTAAAGCCACTACTTGATTTCTTTAATATATAAAGACATGTTATGCTAGATAGAGATCTAGGTAGTCAAGTCATAATTCCTTCAGAGTTTTATCCAACGCCTTTGGTACATTCTCAGGTGCATGATTGGCGTACTTGGAGTTTCTCAGAAAAACAGAGCATCTCTGTTAAGTTTAGCAATCAAGGGCAGAAATATGTATTCTAAGAGTGAAAAATCTAGGGAGAAATTTTCGGACATTACAAACCAAAGTTTGGAGGTGATCCATAAGTCTTCACGGTTCACAATCCCTTCATCAAACAATTTCTTGAGAGCAAACCATAAGAAAAACATCGGATTATTAATCAATAAATGGCTTATGTAAAGCATAGAGAGAAAATGCAAAAGTAATAGCAGTGGCTTGTGATTTCTGGTTAACCACAACTTATTCTCTTGCTGAAGCAGATTGACATGAACTGTACATCGATTCATATGAATGGATACCCTTTGAAATTGGAACAATGCTATGCACTTGGGCAAAAGCAAGACTGCGAGATATCAATAACTGAGCAATGCAAGTTGATGACCAGCAAATTAAAAAAGAGACATCAGAAAGAGAACATTTATTAATTTCATTTCTTTTGGATGAAATTTATGAGTTGTATTTTCATTTCCATGTAGTTGCAGTTATAATAGCTGTACAAAGTAGTTGTGAAAGAAGATTTCAAATAAATAAAGTGATATCTGACGCAATTAAACGGACTACTTGTACTGATGCAATTGATTGCCAGACATTTCCAATTACAATATAATTTATAGCATGTTGCAGCAAGGTCCATGATTGCTCAAAACACAAGAATTGCGCCTTAATCATCAAACTATTATATTTTACTGATTCAAACCTTTTATCTAATTTTCCAATAACCCCAATCATGCATGGTGAGAATTAATTGGTGCTTTACTAATATCTCTCCTGTTCCAATAAACCTGCTGAAGCATTTGCTTCAAGTTATGATGATCTAATGCCCAAGAGAGGTAATATATGTTTGTTAAAATGACATGACAGATGAGCTTTCAATTGAGTTCCAAAAATTCAATCAATTTCAATGCTAAACGAAAAAGATTTACCAGAAACCAATAATGTTCTATCGATTTCCAAAAAATTAAAAAAAGTTGGGAACTTTATATTCAAAACATTGGATCAGTTTCTACCCTCTACCATGCAAAGGCTTTCAAAATTAAACTTGCAGCTAACACGTCTGATATTGCCCCCTTCACTGATTTTCCTTCTCTGCTCGTCCAATCCGTTTCTCTTCTGCTTTCTTCATAATATACCACCAGATCCTTATTAGATGATTTTACTGGTGATGTCTAAGTGTGTTTGATTTTTAGTTTATCAAAAGTTTATTTATTGAAAGTTCTTTTTATAAAAATCAGTTTAATAAACGAAATTTATATTTGAATATATTTTTTTAAAAATTAGTTTAGTAAACATAAAATTGTTTGAATTATGATAGCAAAATATAATTTTGAATATACAATTACCAAAGAAATACATTGATTTATGATGATTTATAATTTTTATTATACAAATATAATATATTTAAAATATTTAAAAAATGTGATAAAGATTTTAAATAACATAAAATTTGATCTATAATGCTCAAAACTTGATCTCTAATTATTTATACTTTTTTAATTTATAATTTTAAAAATGTAATAAAGATTTATAATTTTTATTGTACATTAATGTTAAAAATTAATATGATTAATTATTTAATTTATAATGTTAAAAACTTATATCTAATAATTATTATTTAAATAATAATTATATTTTTAATAAATTAACTATTTTTTAAATAAAAAAATAAGGTGGTAAAATAATATCCACATTTCAAACCTACATTTGAAATCCAACAAAAAATAGAGTTTCAAAATTTACATTCTAAGCTCATTTCAACCCACTGTTTGAAAGTTATCTTGCTCCCTAAAAAAATTCACCAAACAACTTTTAACATTTGAAAAGTTCATCCCAAATGTTAAATGAGAGAAAACCAAATGCACCTTAAGACTCTGTTAAGACACAACATTTAAATTTTAACACCATTTTTTATGATGAAGACAAGTGAGACTATCCAAAGTAACATTTTTAACATTGGTAACTTTAAGGAGTTAATTGAAAAAATTAAAACTCTAAAGATTGATAAATGAGTAAAACTATAAGTACCAAACATTTCCTGTTCCCCAATTTCAAATATTATGCATCCCAATAAAACTTATTAATGATAATTTACAAATTTACTTTTTTAAAAATAAAAATATAATTTACACTATAATTATTTCAATTCTCTCTTCATTTAAAGATAATATTAGAAAAGCATCATTAGTGAAGTTATCTTACAACAAAAACATTTAAAATTATTTTATAATTTGAGATAAATAGAATACTGGAAAAATAACATACAGATTTCAAGAAGATCAATTAATTTAAATCAAGTCTCAATTATAAGACTTCAAGAATTTACAAATTTGTCTCTCAATTTTGCAATCTCGTTGTGATAAATTTATAAATTATTTTTTAAATTTTAATATAATTAAAGAATAAAAAATTTATTTTTCTATTAAGATTTAAAACACAAATTATAAATTCATTATAATGAAATTATAAAATTAATAGTCAAACTTATAAATTTTTACAATTTATCACTTGAGATATAATTTAAATTAATTCTATTTGACTCTTTGTCATTTTCCCTAGAATATTTATTTAATACTCTTTTCGTTCAAAAATTTAAAATATTTTTAATTAAATATTATTCTTAATAAAATAGTTATATACTTTTCAACTAATCCTATATTTTTATATTTATCGGGTATCATCAAGAAGAATAAAGATCTTACAATGAGAGACTGAATTATTACCTTTAACTATATTTATAAAGAAATGAATAGATGTGTTGACAGTCATGCATGAGACTTTTAATATTATCATTTTGAGTTTTTTTCCAATAGATTGTAATAATTTCATAATTTTAAATATGAGCGGACCATAGTACTTTTATACAGTTTTGCCGGGCCTTTGTATTCAAATAAAATTACAATCCAGCTCAAGACGGGTTCGTTTGAAGAATAAAAGCCACACGCGGACATCAGTGCATCACGTGCCTCTCCATAGTCCAAACAGGCAAAAATCCCACAACAGGCTAACCATCTTCCGTTGCTTCTCTCTCGCTGGGGTTTCTTTCCGCAGATTCTGTCTCTCCTAGGGTTTGATATAGGCAGGAAAGTGCATCGTTCTCCTCTATGTTCCCGCCAAGCGCCCTTCTAATTACATCAGGATTCATCTGATTCTTTCTATTCTACTCCGTTTTCAATATTATCTTTCATTTCTCCCTATCTTCTCAATCTACCGTTGCGCTTTAGGGTTTCGCATCCATTATGATTATAGCCTCTCCTCCCTTCATCGGTTCTGTTTTTATCTGTCAGAATCTTCGTGCTTTTGGTCCTGGCTTGAATCCTTTCGCACCCTACTGTATTGCGAATCATTCCGTTTTCTCTCGCTAATTTTATCGTCCTTTGTTTTTCTTCAGTGAGTTCTCGTTTAAAAAAAAAAAAAAGAAGTTATGTAAATCGGTCACCCTTTGATCTCTAGGGCCTCGTCTTTGTTAAATCCAGATTAACGAGAATAGGAGCTGGCAATTTTTACAGGCGATTCTTGGTGTTTCGAAATACAGTGCTAATTTCGAGGGATTTTAATCTTAGATATCAAATTTCAGCTGTCATCGGTTACTTAGATTGCTGAAAGATATGCCTCAAGAGCAGCCGGGGTTCATCCGAAGGAGCTTGTCAAGAAGGCGCTCCTTAAGGTCTGGGGTAGATACGGATGACAGGGGGTGGACCTCACTTCATGTTTGCGCTCGCAAAGGAGATCTCAAATTGGTAAGTTTGACTCCTGATTCCTTTTCTCTATATTTGAGTGCGTTCGATCCATGCACATTTGCTTGATAGTTTTCACGGATCTAAATTAGCGTGGATGCATTCCCTCCAACGAATAAACAAATCAACGTGAAGCATGGAAGAATATAAAAGGGTGCAGTTCTATATTTATGATTTGAGGTTATGATTATTTTCAAGTGATAAGCATTAACTTTCTGACACTTTAATTGCTACTATCCTCGTAATTGTTAGGCCATATGTTGGTTCGACTAAGTGGCATGGACCTGTAATGTCATGTATACTGCTATTTTAAACATGGTCTTATTGAAGAGGAGGAGAAAAAGAGAAAAGAAATGGAGCAATAAATTTCTCCGTGTATAAAATTAAAATGGTTATCACTTCAACGTATACTCAAATTTTGTTTACTGTTGCATAGTGCTAGCTACACTATATGTAATGCAGACGAAAAGCTATTGCGCAAAGTCTCTTCACTGTATGTATGGCTCGTAAGAAATGGAGGTGGGATTTTATCGAGTAAGAAACCCTGTGATTTTAAGTTTTCAGTTTTTTTTTTTGGTTGACTTCTTTCTAAATATTCTTCTGTGGAGATTTTCTTCTTGCATGACAGGTAACATTTGCCTCTTTGTCCTCTCTTTCTTCTGTTCTGTTTTAGTGCTTGCTTTGATTTGATTATCGTGGTGTAAATAGGTTACCCCTCTGACTTTCTCCCATCCAAAGATGATTGTCTTGTTTCACGGCTTAATTTCTGAAATATGAGCGTATATATTTGTTCCTGTGAGTTGTTGGGGAACGTAATGTTTTCTCTTGGAGTTCATATATAATCTTCTCAATGTGGTTTTCAATTCTGACTTGCTCTGTGTGTGTAATTTTCTCTTGAAATTCATTTGTAAATATTATGGATTCCTTGTCCCCTTAAGATTGTGTAATATTTGTAGCAAAGTGGTTTTCAATTCTGTCTTGCGCTATTTGCTTACTAGGCTTCTACTAACTGCACTGTCCAACAGGTTAAGAAGCTTATCAATGAAGGAATGGATGTAAATGTTGTCGCATGGGGTCCAAAATCAAAAGGTGTCACCCCGCTTCATCTTGCTGCTGAAGGTGGCCACCTTCAAGTCATGGATGAATTACTTGAACGTGGTGCAGATATTGATGCCAGGACTAAGGGTGCTTGTGGCTGTAAGTTAATTCATTCTCCCCCGAGGTGGCTTCAATGCTACCTTTTTTTTTTGTGGCAAGTATATGCATATTGAGTTACCACTTTCTTAACGATTATGTGTTTAAAACACAGGGACACCTCTCCACATTGCAGCTAAAGAAAGGAGGAAGGCAGCGGTGAAATTATTGGTAGAGAATGGAGCATTCTTGCCTCCTGATATCAACGATTGCAGATTTAACCCCCCAGTTCATTATTGCCCAGGCCTTGAATGGGCCTATGAGGAGATGAAGCGACTTCGATATGAAAACTCATCATCATCTGGGGACACCTCTTGCGGCTCAGAAAGCTGAAAATTTCTTCTGGAGTTCTGCCCGATGCTTGGTCTGTCTTAATTCCATCTATCTAGTGTGAAGTGTGAACTAATAGAAGACTGAAACAAGCAAAACGTGCCTTCGTGTCTGCTGTGTAATGTATTTTACATTACTGTCGTTTTTTTAGCCTTAAAAAACCGAAATACATTTAGTTGTCATTTTTTATCGTATGGCGATTGTAACTGTGTCTGCATGGGAATGTTGTGCGTGGGAATGTTTTGTTCCGACCTCTGTATTATTGTCTGTTGTCTACAAACAATGAAGGGATTAGCTTTTGGACGCCCTTGTAGAAAATAAAAATCTAAAGCCTCCAAAGAAATTGACTGTCTTTTGAACGTCCATGTAGAGGTGTTCGATGCTCGGCTTGCTGCTGTTGTGCGAGGCAGGTGGCGGCATTTCATTTCATTTCATTTTGTGAAAGGGGAGGAATTGTAGCCCATATTTATAAGGTCCAGGATTATGGGTTGAATCTTAGGTTAGGATCTATTCATCGCCCAAGGCGAATCCGACCTCCTGGATTGGCGTTTATGAAAGTTCCTATTACCCAGGGTGGAGGTTAGTAATGCCTTGGTTGTGGAACAGTCTCAACCGCGCCTTGTCCATTTATCAAACTGACAGAAAACAAACCAAGACAACCTCCTAATAGGTCTTGGCGCGATTGCAAAATTGCAAAGACGAGAGTTGATGCTTAGGATTAATTTGAGTCTCAATAAGTAGAACGGGATCTGCGAAGACATCATCATGGGTTATCTAATCTTGGCTTTCATATTATATGAAGGATGGTGCTATCGGTTTTGATCAAATGCTTCTAATGGCCGAAACTTGAGATTGCGACGAGAAGCGGAAAAATAATCGGTCCACCCTTCGGTTTCAGGGTGTATCCGTTCTCTGGGCTCTCGATGATGCAAGTCATGGACTTTGGATTGGGATATGCTTTACTAACCGATGTCTACCGACGTCGGTGAAGCCCTTAGGGTTTTTTTTTTTTTTTGGGCCAAAGAAGCCATTTTGTTTGCATTGGCTTTGATGGTAATGCGCATGAGATTGTTAACCAATCATGTTTCCTTTTCTATTCTATTATTCCTCTTTACATTGCAAGAAGGTTGACAGATTTGGATGAGGCATAAAATGTAATGATCCGCTTGGCTTGTCATATCTTTTTAGTCCGAAACGGCATAAGAAGATCCAAATCCAACTAAATCAATTGCAATACATAATCCAGAGATTACTAGTGTATGACAAATGGGGTACATGTGGTCAATTTGGAGCATATCTATTAAAGAGACAACTCCACGGTTCTCTTCAGGCAAAGGACCGTTTATGTGAAGAGAGATGGGTATAGAGGTTTGATGGGTGCACTCACCAAACTGTCTCTATCTTTCTCCACCGATATGTCTTGGCAACTGTACAGAAATGTCACTTGAACAAACTTGATAAAGCAATTTCCAAATGAAGGTGCTCATTCGAATGGGAGTTTAATTTGCCAAAAAAGTTTCTACCCTCAAGTAGAATTTAAGCCTGTTTCTTGTGGGTGTCAAGTACTTCTATGGCCATCTCTTGTTGAGGATTTACCGCAAGGAGTGCCTTGCCGTTGCAGAAGGTCCTTCATTTCCAAGGTGGAGAATGAAAATTGAATGTTTTCATTTTAAGCTTGGAGGTGGGTGGCAGGGTGGGATATAATAGAGCATCAAGAATAGACCGCTTCCAAAGTCATGATGATGCAAATATGAGATCCAAAACCACTGGTAATTAACTCCTCTTGAATTTCTTAGGCCCAGGGAAAGGGGACAAGAGAGCTGGCTTCGGCTTAAAGAAAGCTATAAAGAAGACAGCCGTCGGACAGTCCCCTCCTTTCCTCATGTTATGAAATCCATTTTTTTTTTATTAAAAAAAATTATGCTTTTATTTGTGGCTTGTACATTTGCGTTGGTTGATCTCACTTATTGAGATAAAATTTGTTGTTGTTGTTGGCTTGTTGTCACCGCCTTCTTTACTTACACTGTTTTGTAGATGAGATGAAATGTCATGAATTTTGAGCCTATGATGATAATAAGTTTTATATATTATTTATTTGAACTTTTTATTTTAACAATAAAACAAAGGACATTCTCATTCTTACCTCAAAATGTTTAGAGATAGGAATGAAAATAAGTCAAGCTCTGCAGTAACATAGGCTTAATGCTAGAGCTTGTGAACATGTTTTCTTTTCTTTTTTTTTTAATTAAAATGCATAAAATCTCTTTGAATTTTGAGGTAGTTGTTTATCTCTCTTTTTATCTTTCAACATTTAAAATTAACCTTCTTAAATTTTAATTTTATTTTTCAAAACTCCCTGTAATTAATTACCTATTATTTTATTAATGGTTATTATCATGTCATATTAAACTCCCATTCAAAAGAGTATCTTCATTTATATTTTAAAATCTAACCTATATTTATTTAAATAGGCCTTTAAAAAGTCTTAAGAAATAGGCATTGAAGAACATTCGTTAGATTTTAAGCCTACTTAAATCACCAAGATTCAATGATTTTAAATTAAAATATAATAGTATAAGTTAAATGTATTTAAGATAAAAATAAAATAAAATATATAATAAATAAATAAGATATAAATAAGTCAAGTCTAGGTTTATAGGCCAGGTGTTGAAAAAAAAAGGCTTAACCTATTTAGCTAAACAAATTTTAAAAATGTATCTATTTAAATTGTGGACACAATATCATTGTTCATACCATGATCAAGTTCGAATTAAATAGAGTCATATGTTTTAGAACATAAGATATATTATGAAATATTAATAGGAGTATACCAAAATTATTTTTCTTCTATTTAAAACAGAGAATTAATGATTAATGTTTCATAAAATCCCTTGTATATTAAAACATTATTTTTTAAAAACATGTCTTATATTTGAAATAGAGGGAGAATTTTTTTTCCCTTTAAAATTTAGCTTCTAATCACTGAAATGTTTTACTCTTGCATCCATTAAATGTGATTTCAGGCATTACATGATATAAATTTATCCCTGAATAATAAAAAAATTGCTAAACAAATTGTCAAATTTGATATTAATTTTTGAATAAATAATGTTAGAAACATGAAAAGTAATTCATCAGTAACCAAATTTTTTTTTAAAAAATACATTTATTGGAAAGCAAGTAAAAATAGCCAAGGGGTTCAAAAACATAGCATTCTTGTGGATTCATTCTAAAAGACTAGACGTAGTTGTAGATAACATCATGACACCCACGGGAAAAATATAATCAAGAAGGTGCATGGAAATCCTGAATTGAATTCAACAAAGATTTAGTTTCCTGTCTTTTCCATCATCAATACGAGCGAGTTTCCTAATTTTAAGGAAAGTATGAGAGGGGCATCTCATCCCCACATATGGGTGATGAGCATTTCAGCGTCGTCCAAATTTAATTTAAACGATACAATTTTATAGTTTTTAATTTTTATTTTATATTTATTAAAATAAAAATTTTAAATTTTTTTCATAAATATATATTTATTATAAATCGAAATTTAATTTTTAATATTTTTTAGAAATTGAATACATCTCGACCTCGCAAAATTCACCATTGTCCCTTCAATTTTACCAAACGCTCTCTCCTTTTCCACTAATTGACAAATTTCCACTTTCAGCTCCCAACATACCCCGCAAACATTTATTATGAACCTCAAACGAAGAAATCAAAATCCCTTTTCAGTTTTCATTTTCACTTTTCAGTTAATTTAGAAAAATATTTAAAAAAAAATGAAAAAAAAAGAACTAAAAACACTCAAGCTGTGAGAGAGCTATAGGGTGCCGGTATGAGGTACCCTTGGCAGAACATGAACCGCCGCAGCTTCAAGCCCCGCCGGCAACTCCACCACCCAGATCCTGGCCGGAGCGGCTGTCACGTCCACCACAGAAATCCCACCACCGGAAACGACACACACTCTGCCTCCTTCAGCAACCACTTGCTCCGCCCCTCTCAGCCTCTCAGACTCCATGATTATCTCCTCCCAAGCGTCCTTCTCTTCGTTATATTTTCTCAGAGCACCGTTGGCGTCATCGACTCCGTACATTACCGTTTCCGCCATAGCACCCACCGGTCCTCTCCATCCATGCAACATCCCTCTCGGCATCTCCTGCCACGTGTCCCTCTCAACGTCGTACACAATCCCTTCCTTCGCCGCAGCGTCGCCTTTCACGTTCACCATGCACAGCTTCCCTCTCCATCCCACTGCATCAATGGCCTCTCTGCTGAACCTCCCGTGTCTCAGATCTCTCTTCTTCTCCCACTCGCCACCGCCATTAGGGTTTCTCGTGAAATCCCACTTCTCCATGGACCGAGCCACGTTGGAGGAGAACTTGGTGCCGATCCCGCTAGCTATGTAGACGGAGCCGCGGGACGCTCCTAGGGCGCACCACCGGCGAGGAGTGTTGAGGGTGGGGCCAAAGCTCCAATTTTGAGAAATGGGGTCGAAAATCAGAGGGCGAGACAGCGCGGCATGGAGGTCGTGGGTGGAACCGGCGAGGAGGATGAGTTTTCCTGAGACGGAAATGGATTGGATCGGAAGGTTCCGGGAGATGAACGACGGGTGCCGCCGGAGGAGGAGTTGAAGCGGTGGGTCCAGCGGCGGTGGAGGAAGAGGATGCCACGTGGAAGAGATCGGATCAAAAGTGAAGATTTGAACATTAGTTGAAGGCAACCTTGTGAACTGTGATGATATCGGCGGGGTTGGGGTTGAAGACGAAAGGAAAGCGTAGAGAGAGAGAAAAGGAGGGAAGGAAGGTAAGTAAAGAAGACGACGCCATGAATGACAAACAGAGAATAGAAGAGAAGGATCTTTGACGAGAGAGAGACAGGATTGGGCCAGTGGATCAGGAAGACCTGGAATCAGAGGCTGAGGATGACGATGGTTCTTCTTCTTTTGGCATATCAGAGAACTTGATGAAGTTTTGGCCATGAAAAATTCTGCAGATGCTTCTGAAACGTTCAAGTTGGAACCAGAAAGCTAGCTTTTGGGAAAAGTTTCAAACTTGGTAAGGAAGTGGGTTCCGGTATACTTACTCTGAGGGAAACACTTGATAGGCCAGGACGAAAGCTGCTGGTAAGGTCGGTTTCGAATATAATAAAACGATAAAGCAATGCTTGATTCATAGGTATAGAAACACACGCATATATATATATATATATATATAAACTGACAAAAGTAAGGAGGAGTGAGTGAGAAGAAAGATGGAGTTGCAGAGAAAGATGGGGGGATAGGGACAGAGAGAGGCCCGTTCCGTTATTATTAGTTTTTTTTTTTTTTTGCTTTGAATGAAAGATTTGGTAATATCATATTCATATGAGAGGGAGCTTGTGGTCCTGGAATGGTAATAAATAGGGAACTACTTTTCGGATAATTAATTGAAATTTGACTCTGCTTTTGAGTTTCTCACGCGATGCATGAGCCCAAGCTGGATCTGCGAGGGTTCGAGTGGGAAGAATGTTTCACTTTCTGATTTAAACTTCGATTTTTGTGACACAAAACTTGCTACAAACATAAGCTGGGGTTGACTACGGCTGGCATTTCAAACCGTTCTTAGAGATTTCCAAGGCACAATCTGTAATGTTGGTCAAGGAGGACCTACCAGTAATGGATAAATACCAACCGCGTTGTTTTAATTTGTATATTGAACACACATAAATGAAGGCTTTTACCGATCCTATTTATAAATTACTACTTCTAAATTCCAACATGTTTCATTCTTTTAATGCACAAAGTGACAAAGAGGACCGTATATATATATAATGATTATATTAGACACATTGATATAGGAACATGAATATATATATTCAAGTTAACATCTGCTAATTGAATGCTAACCTACTAGTGAGATGAGTTCTTGTAAATTGTAACCCTTTATTCAATACCTGGGATCAACGATTCAATGGGTTTCTATACCAGGTTGGGGCAACTAGATAAGCAATGTGAAAGTTAAACAAAGAACATGACTTTATATGAAATTTTAGTTAATATCTTACATCTTAAATTATAAGACACTTTTAAATAAAATTTTACAATTAATGACCCTCATTAAATATACTTAAATAATCTTATTGTTTTAAAATAAAAATGTAAACTTTTAAAAATATCCTTCATTTAATAACCTTAAATTTACATCTAATTAATATTAAATAGAGAGATATGATAACATTAAAATAAATTTATTTAATAAAATTTTAATTTTTTTCAAATATCTTACATTTTAAAGTTGTAAATTTTTTTTAAAAGTATTTTATAATTTAAGATGTAGGTAGTAAAATGAAATTATATCATTAAGGAGTGGGGGCACAATTCTATTCCATCACTTATGTTTTTCGAGCTGCGCTTTGTTGGATCAGAAACTTTTGCAACAATTACAATATCAACTCCTCTCCACTGCGTCTAATTTGGTTCATGGGAAAAACTCATTGCAAAGAAATTACTGTTCATGAATTCCCACAACAATGTTTCCATGCACGTAGCTTCTTTACTTCTTAATTTTCAGCATTTTAATGTCCAACTTATAACTGATGAATATTGCTTTTCTCTTTTTACTTTCTCTTCATGGCTTATGGCCTTCAACGTTGTACTTTTCTTTTTTTTTTTTGGTAATATAATCCCTCAATTTTTTTCCATAATTTGTTTTTACTAAAACTAAAGAAAATCTTGAGATTTATTAACTCCCTTTAGAAATATAATAAGTTTTTAATCTTATCCTGATTAAATATAAATATTTTAATGATGGTAAAAAGAGAAAATTTATGAAAAATTTAATGATATGACTTGTAAATAAGGCCACAAAAATTTATTCTTTTTCTATCTTATAAATAGGACTGAAAAGGAAGTAAGCCCTTGGTATGGAGAATTGACTGGAACTAATTTTGTTTATTTTTTAATTATGATTAGAAGTTCATGCGAGTTGGATCATTATTGAACTCTTGAGGATAGATCAAGGTTTATTTTAGGCTCGGATAGCTGATTTTACTTGGATTGAAAGCTTTGTTTTTCTTTCTTTGGCAACACAAAAAATTATGCAAGCAAGTGAATTAGAAATGAAAGGAAACAAATACCAAATCCTTAACGTGGAACTGATCAAGATCAAGCACGAGCAACTTTAATTGAGCACATTGGGCCCTCTTTTACTTTCTAAGGTGCCATGATATGATCAATAATTCACCCTACAATGTTACTTGTTCTTTAGAAACCAAAAAGTGTACAAGTTTGGTACCATTTTTGGATCCGTCTTTATGAAAATTATGTCAAGTTCCTTAAAGAATAAGGATGACGATGATTTAATGGCTATGTGTTATTTCTTATTTCTGAATTCAAGGTTGTAACTAATAGAATGGAACAAGGGAGTCAAACTTCATGACAAGAGGTAAGTCATGATCCAATCTAACTGGCAAAGATGTGATTTTTGTTTTTTTTGCCCGGCAAAGATGTGATTTATAAGTATTTATAAGTATTCTTCAAGTTGTACGATCAACCCTACTTTTAATATAGTTTCCTAAAACTCAATTCAAATAAAAAAAAAATTTCCAAGTAAAAAAGTTGTAAAATGATAATTAATTTTTAAAAAATTAATTGATGACATTTAAATTTTTAATAATTTTTTAAAAATAATTTTAAAATATCCATCCATAGAGTTATAAATAAAAATTTCAATTATAATTTGATAATTATATTAAAAATTTAAATTCATTATCTAGAATTAAAACTCTTAATTTTTTAATTATTTAATAACATACTATCTTTTTTTAATCAACATTTAATAACATACTACCAAAAGCAAAAATGTTTTCCATTATGGTCCCTGTCTTGACCAGTGAATAGAATGACTATTATCACCGTCGAGCTCAAGTTTTTCCCATTACAAAAGTTTAGATTTTAAATTTACTTGATGATATATTTATATTGACTCAATCATGACGGTCCTTTGTTGCGGGTCCATTTTAGCGTCAAAGCCATGCATATTATTGAGGTTTAATGTGCCATTTTTGTTAAATTGTACTGTCATTCTCTCTCCTATTCTTATTTTAAAAAATTACATGTTAAGTTTCAATTTTTAAAAGACTAGACGAACATTTGTTTAAATTTAATAATGAAATAAAATTATTTTAATTTTAATTATTTAATGTTTAAAATATATTTTTTAAAAATTTAAAATTTAAATTCCTTTTCACTTTATAATTTAAAGTTTAAATTAGATATTAATTTTATTGGGAAAATAGTTTTTCTTCTTTTGTAGAAAAGACATGTGAAGCAAGCAAGTTAGTACTTGCCTACCCGGTAATGAGAAAACCGTGGATCGCAGGAAATGCGCATTCATATTAAATGAATAGGTGTTTCATATGCACGTGCATAACGTTATAGCCTCATAGGCTTCGAGCTATTCTGCCTCCAAAGATGAATGAGATTAAATTGGGTTCACCTTCTCATCCCCATTAGATCATTAGCTGTGTTTTAATTTCTCCATCTTTTGAATTAACGAGAATTTACATTTAACAAAATATTTTATTTGAATATACAAAAATTTATAATTTTAAATTTAATTTAAATATAAATTCATTTTAAATTATAATTGTCATATACTTTTAAATTCTCTTTATACTTAAATTATTTAAAATTTTATTTATTTTAAACATCTGTTTCTTCTCACATTTTTATTATTGATACCTATGGCTATGTGACCTTCAAATCTTTTTATATATTTAGATTAGATAATTTAGTCAAAATTAATTTTAAATATATAAATTATTGTAAAGGATATTATTTTTAAAATGTAAATATTGATAAAATTATATATAATATTATTAAATTTGTTGAATTCTATTTAATAAATAAAATATGTTAATGTTAACGTTGTCAACAACAACAATGATAACGTAAATTTTGTGAATTTATTGACTAAACAATATGTGTAAAATAAAAAGTGGTTAGGATCCAACAATAATTAATAATAATATGAAAAGTCAACAACAACAATGATAACATAAATTTTGTGAATTTATTGACTGAACAATATGTGTAAAATAAAAAGTGGTTAGGATCCAACAATAATTAATAATAATATGAAAATTGATGAGAGAGACACGAAACTCTCCAGATGCAACACAGTGGTAGCCTGCAACACTCAATTTCACAACACTCACCACTTCTCCTTCACTCCCACATGCAAAACGGAGGCTTACAATTTGCTAGAGGGGTGTGCATCGGAGGAAAAAATTTTGACAATTGATACATGAAACTAATGTTAAGATCAATTCTGATAAGCCCTTCTTGTTAACTTATAGCAAAACGTGGTTAAAAGTACAAATAAGTGATTATAAAGAAAAATAAAGTTGTTTGGGTGATTTTCACCAAAACCATGGCTTTGGTTCATAAAATCAATTATAACCCATATCCATACAGGGCCTAAGAACAAGTTTCCAATCATTTAATTAACGTGCTCACGTTGGTGTTATCATAGTGAATTTCACTATGTTGAAAATGACTGGTTGACTGAAAGGAATTTGATATCCTTTAAGTAAAATCTCAAGTTTGAGTTTTTGTTAATGAACTAAAACATGTTGACAGTGTTAAGGTATGTCTGGATTGGGGTCTGCACGCATTCTAAGGCATGCCCAACAAAAACTCGTCCCTGATTTCTTCAGTGCACACTTGGTAATTTGATTTGGGCAAAACAGAGAGTTTATGGATCTCTGTGTGTGTCTGTGTGTGGATATCTTTTGTGTGAGCTAATCTGCTTTTCTTTTGGTGGGCCCAGGGGGGGGTGTGGTGGGGAGCAGAGACGAGCCAGGCAAGAGCAAATAAGCAACATGGGAAGCAAAAATTTCAGTCTTATCAAACGAACCTTATTTTCATTGACCTCGCTTCTTCTCAGTCTATCAAATGAATGACCTGTGAAGAAAGCTTCACTTGCTCGCTTCAGTAGACTCATCAGATATCCTCTATTCCCAAGGGATCTCAACAAGATTAGACATCGGAAATGGTCGAGTTCCTATCTGTCTCATGAAATGAAAATGGGAGGGCTATCTTATGACATAAAATCCAAGACAATAAAAAAGAATACATTAAACGCAACAAATGATTAGGACAAAACTTATAAAGTATGATTCATCACGCAGTCTTCTTACAGCACAACCCCAAATGTGAACGATTGTTAACATGATGGGTGCACACTTCTTACATTAAAGTTGCCAGTCTACGCGATCAGACTACAACCATATTGCAACCGGCAGCAATATTTATTCATATGCCCAAAAAACAACTTCACAATTAAAAGAACAACTCCTGCTCCGACGGCCAATATCTGAGGTTCTAGTGATAATCAATAGGAGCTGCAGCCTCCCTCAGCTGACGCCCTTGATAATGTATGTCCTGCATTTCATTACAGTGAAACAACATCAGTATTATCAACCCATAATACATAACCAAAATTCAATTTTATTCCTTTGGTAATTTAGACCCATGATATTCCAACTAGCCATCCAGTCAAAGGCAAACAATATAATCCGCTCCAAGGTTAAATTTTTCCCAACAGAATTGACCAACCTAATGTTTAAACCAAACCACACATCTATCAACATTTTGGCCAGTTCCTTGAGGTAGATCAACCCGTGACGAAGTGTTTAGCGCGGTGGCATTTTTGCATATCTTATAATATCATCAATAACATCCAAAAAGGCATCTGTGCTAGGCATTTTACAAATATCTGAATGTAACAATCACAAACATCTAAAATAATTAATAGAGGGAAAACTTACAGATGCAAAGTGGTTGACATCACGGTGGTGGGCTTCATCAGCTCTGACTACCACGACGACATCTCTCAAAGTGGAGCCAGGAGGAAGCTGCCAATAGTCGATGGCAATGGCCGGGGCGGGAACATTCTCAATGGTGCCCTTGTCCAATTCCTTGAGGAACTCAGTGTAGGAGTGAATGGCCTCCTCTTCAAGGTACCCCACCATGCGGTGTGCGAATTTAGGGGACAAAAAATAACCCAAGAAGTAAGCGTTGAGGAACACACCCTGGACGGCTATGACCAGGGCTCGCTCGTACCACCTGGGCTTTGACACCTCCATGAATGTCATCAAGTGCATGCGCTCGTTCTCTGCTTCTTCTAACAGCGCCTTGATCCAGCCCCCACTGTGTTCGAATCGTCTCAGCGACTTTAAGTGCAGTATCATCCCTGCTACCATGCCCGGTACAGCCGCCACTGTCTCCAGCATCATTGCTCGGCATCCATACCGTTTCTGTTACATTTGTGTGCTCACCATGTCAGACAGATATAACTTTCCCCTAGAATTTAGTTCCACATTTTTAACATGAGCAAGTGTTATAACATAGATTGAATGGCAAACTGATTATATATGGAGGACCCCATAGTTTTTTTCCAATTAATAAGAGATTTATTGACAAGAGGACCCACTATAAAATCTGATGAAGAACAACAGAGATGATATTTTAACCAAGGAATACTGGATTACAAGTGTTCTCGTTTCAAGGCAGTTACAAAGGCAAAGAATTCCCTGTCCCAACTCAGCAATTTTTTTTCCGGGTGTTCTCATATAAGAAATAAAAGGCAGGTCAAGAAGTCTAGATAGTTATAGTTTTTTTCTCGACCAATATCGAATTCCAAGGATTTGGGCTCACATACAAAAAGTAGTGCGCTGTGGTCCAACGTTTGGTCCAACCGACAATTTAGTATAATCACATACAGCCGAGGGAATGGAGAGCCATCAAATAATCAAATTCAAGTTAATCTAATTAGTGCGAACAACATCCTTTTGACTTCAAATTTTAAATCCTTCCCCTCCGACAATTTTTTATCCCCCAAAAAAATGTTTTAATGCCTCGCGTATTTTCTTTTGAAACATGCTTATTAGTCATTTCATATATATTAATCATAGAAATAAATTGTATGAAATGGAAAATATATTAAAGTAAATTAAAGTCTTTTCAGGAAAATTTTATCTTCATTCTTAATAATAACATAACTAATGATATAGCTAACTAGTTCAAGTGGCAAAGTAGAATTATTGTACGTGGATAGTAGTTAAAGATTAAAATCAAATCCCTCTGATGCAACCAGGACGGATCCAGAAGTTGAAACATGGGGGCCAAAATGAAACATTACAAGAAAGTGAGGAGCTAAAATTAACTTTTGCATATTTTATAAATAAAAACTGATATATTTTCAAAGAAAATTTGTAATAAGATCAAAAAATAGTGATATTCTTTACTCGTTATATAAATATTTGAATAATAAATTATTAATGAATTTTCCACAATAAGTATTATTTTATACAGTAAGAGAAAGATCAAAATTTTGTTGTAAAGGAGATTATGGAGAAATCTTATTACTGTAAGAACTAATGAATAATACTTTAATATTAAAACCTATAAAAAAAATCTTAAAACTAAAAATTAAAATTAAAATATAAATATATGCGAAAATATTTTATCATCCTAATATATTTACTTATATTTATTATGAAGTTATTTTTTAAATTTATATTAAATTTTTTTTTTTAAAATTGAAGCTATTTTTTATTATATTAATCTAATAAATATTTAAAATAATATTTTTTGCCATCAATTTAAAATAATAATTTTATAATTCCCTTAATTTTTTTTGGGTTTTGCCGCTGTTATTAAATAAACTGAATCATCAAAAAAATAATAATTAAATGCATAGGCATGAAGAAATATGCAATAACAAAATTGAAAGGAATTAAATATTCAAAATAATATGAATCATTGATATTTTATTTTATTTTATTGGCAAGAGATTATAACCAAAGGGTAATTGGGACGAAGCAATTTGCTTAGTAGCTAGTACACAAAATTATGATTCAGACCCTTAACTCCTTGACCACTTTGTTTGAATCTCTATCACTCATGAGCTAAGTTTTTTTTTTAACATTTTATTTAACTTTGATAAAATAATATCTTGCATAATTTCAACAACAGTTTACACTCCAGTTTTGGAGATCCCACGAAATATATTACACGCAATATTTTGTGGAAAGACCACGATAAAGTATTGTGTTCAGCAAAGTCAAGTTAATCCAATCCCAATCAACTGACTGAATCAAGATCAACTTATCAATTATACATGAATCTACAGATCAATTAAAAATTGTGGAGTATTGATTATTTTATAAAAATCATTTTTATATGAAATAATTTTTATTTTATGTTTTTGTGGGTGGATTGAATTGCAAGTCAATAAGTCATGCAAAAGCACTTTTGATTTGAATTTCATAGTAAAAAATATTTATATTCATGGCCTGGGATTCGGGCTTTTTTTGTGGGCAATGATTTAAGAATTTAGTTGGAAAAAATATTCCATCTTTTACGAATTTTTTTCGGGTTTATTTTCGTTCTTGAACAGCTAAACTCGATCGTGTCGGGCTCAGACCAATTCTCTCTGGATTAATTGAAGAAGAAGAATTTAACTTTCCAATCATCCGAATTACTGGATCCAAATTTATACACAACCTGCCAAAAACCAAATCCGAACATGACCCACGTTCAAGGCAAATCATGGCCCCAAAAAAAAAAAAATCAAGGCAAATAAAAAAAATAGGAAAAAAATTATGTGGAATATGAATGAGAAGGACCACAATTCTAGTACCAGAAATTTATAGATAAACTTGCTACACCAATTTATCTATGATATATTCAATAAAACATGATATAGAGATGATATTAAATATAAATTAATTATGATATTAATGATAATGGGAGGAGAGAAAAGTAAAAAATTAAATATGTATTTTATTATAAAAATAAAATTATTAAAAATAATGATATATAAAATTTTACTTAATTGAATCGATTTAATTTTATTGAATGTAAGATGGATAACTTTGCAATATGAAACAATTAATCACCATGGGCGTATAAAGAAAAGGAAGTGTTTCTCTTATCGACTATCGTGTGCGGGTGATGGAAGAGATACCTGGAAGAATATATCAGTGGGCCATCGGAGAACCTTTACAGTCCAATAAGCCATCTTGTCCAAATATGTCGCCGGCGTATGGTGCTTCTTCAGATCAATCGACACGTTCGCTTGGTACGTCTCCCACGGCTTCAAGATCAAAATCACCACGCACAGACAACAAAAAATCCAATCCCAATCGCTCATCAATTTTGAACAACGTGTAAGAGAAATCCAAAGAAATGAAATGCTAATTACATACCCTAAAGGAATTCCACCTCCATTCTGTACCGTCCGCTTTCGTGATCTTCGCCGGTTCAATACCCCAATAGCTCACCACCCCCTTCCCGTCATTGTCGCCACCCACACTGCTTTCGCTTGAAGCAGCCGCTGACACATACTGCTTCTCTTTCTGTTCCACTGATATAGTGCTCGAATTCCGGACACTTCCGCTGCGGACCAATGGAACCCTAAGCCAGTAGCCGAGATTAGCTCTACTAGCCCCAACCGGATCACTAAAACCCATGGCTGCATTACTCAGCGCCGCCTTGCTGGCCAGAGCACGAGCGGTTGTACCAGTGGTGGAGAAGAAACGTGAACCGGCCGCGACGGCGACTCGGCAGGTAATAACACCACGGCTCATCATTTGCGAAGGAATCCAAGGATGTGGGATATGGAAGGATCTGTGAAGAGAGAAAATTTGGAGAGAAAGCAGAGAGAGAAGTTACGACTTACTAGCTGTTTGGTTTCAGTCGTGGAGGGGTTTTGCGGTTGGGTTTTTATAATGGGATTTTGCTTTATTAAATAACATAGGGGGAATTTCCTTATCTTAAAATATGAGATAATTTAATAAAAATAAAAATTATTAATAATATTTTTATAATATTATACTTAAAGAGAAAAATTAAAATGATAATAAATTTAAAATTATATCAAATGAAAAATATTTTTAAAAATTTATATTTTTATTTTAAAAAATAAGTTTATAAAGTATCATTATTGAATTTTATTGATATATATAATCTTTTATCAAATTATCTTGTAATTATCACTCCCCTCAACACATTTTTTGTGTGGAAAAAATTTGATAGTTAATCCATGACACCTTATAAAATTTGATGAAATATTAATCAATTATTTCTAGAAATATCCACAAAATTTAAAAACAAAGTTAATAATTTTAATTAACCTTTTGTTCGAATAGGAAGAAAATTATAAGCGAAAGAAAACTAAAAGAAAAAATAAAAAACTACTAAAAATAGATAAATTTTTTATTATTTTTATAAAATTCTTCTGATATTTTCTCTTTTTTTTTTTACGTTTTCTTCCATCCTAACTAAGTCATGAAAATTTAGAATTTCTATAAATATTTTTAAAAATTTTTTTGAGACTTTTAATTAATTTTAATCATCTTTTTTAATTTATTTAATTTGATTAAAAGTATTTTATAAATAAGAATGGAGGCTTTGGCGATGGTAGGCTTTGTGTTTATGAGTGTTTTTAAATGTTTTTATGAAAATATCTTTGATGTTTCTGGAATTTGGACCCACCTTTGTCCTAATTTGAGTTGATTCCATTCGTGTCTTGACTATTCAAATTTTTTATTTTATTTTGACATTTTTCAATTCAAATCAAAATGTTAATGATAACATTAAAATTAATATTATTTTAATTTATTACTGATGTCGCAAATGATAAACATATTTAATGGACATTTGTATATAGCTCAACAAATTCAATTTCTTTTTTCTTCAATAATAAAAAATTTAGGTGTATTGTCTTGTGACTTATCAAGATCGGAGGATACTTACAAATTTAAAAAAAGTTTATAAAAATATTTATAGATTATTTATTAATAAAATCCTCACAACGATAGTAGTGTTTAAATTTAAACATTTTGTGTGACATGAGCCAAATTGTTATCAATTAAATCAACTTTGCTAGTTTGATTCAATTTTGTCTTCAATTTGATTTGATTCTCTACTTGACAAGATGGTTACTGGAGGGAAAGCTTAAGACCTCATTTGGTTTGCAAAATGAAATATGACGAAAAAGGAAATTTTAAAAAATCAACTTGTTATATGTAAAATATCACTTGTTATTCAGAGATTATTACGGGGATATACTAAATATTACATTTATTAATTTTCATGTAATAATAAAGAACGATGAGCTTATAATTTGTTCCCCATGAGATCATTTTTATCTGAAAGAGAACCGAAATTCCTTTTCAAGCTTTCGATTTAATCCAAAATTTTTAGGACAACTGTACGGCTGTATCAGGGGTCTGGGTTCTCTCAAAAAATTGCACAATGATTTTTATTACTTCATGGAGACATAAATAACAAATTGGTAATGTCTATCAAAATTACTATTTGAAATTATTAATAAAATAATAAACAAGTTGGCATTTATGTAGGCCTATGAGCAAGTTGGCATTTCTTGGCGAACAAGGAGGCCTGGTCCTCGTGTGGGTCATGTAAGGCTCCGAATTTACAGCTATGTGGATTCCGTGGGCGGGTGAGAATGTTCAATGAATGGTTTCATTTTAGACTAAAATATTACTGATAAACAGGGATTTTTATTCTAAATGAAATAATAAGGATACTATATATAATTTTTTTAAGATTCATAATGTCATCACTTACGTTAAGCAAATTTTGGATTATAAAATTGTAGTTTTTGAAATAATTTACTCCAACTGAAGGTTTGTTTTTTAGTTCGATCATCGGCTTTGTCTGGTATAAGAATGATCAAATTGCCTCAACTTAAAAAAAACAAAAACAAAAACACAGACAAAATATGTGACATGAGGCCAAATTGAAGATGCATGCCCTTTTAAGATAGCACAGCATGATACAAGGAGCAATGTAAATCTCACTGTTGATATAAAAATCCTGATAATGAACAATTTATAAGCATTTTTATAAGGATTCTGTGCTTGAAAATATGTCATGGTTCTCATGCGTAGCCGAAAAATTAAGATTCAACTAACCTATAACATTTTTTTAACAAAAATAAAAACAGCACATTTGTTAAATAACAATAAAATTACAACCTCATTATCAATTATTTATCGTCAAATATAATCAATGATTGGCAATGACCTTTTAGCCTAGATGCACCAAGGCGCCTTCGAATGGAGGAGGTCATGTGTTTGAACTAAATGGCAGTGTTCAGGTAATTATCGAGAGAAATTGGGGGGCTTTTCCATGAGAAAGTGCAGGCAACTCAAAAAATATTTATACACAGTTACTAGTTTTAATTAGGAGTGCGAGATATATATATATATATATATATATATAGGTATTTGATTTGTTTTATTCTATTTTGCATAGGATAGAAAAATAATTGAAATAGAGATGAAGAGTTATATAGAAGGACAATATTGCTTAATTCGAAATGGCATGATCACATGAAGGCTGCAAGTGAGATTGAGGTAACGTAGAACGTTGGTGGAAGTTGAGGCACTCGTAATGGTGACAGCTTCACCCGGAGGAAGTCACCCCTTCCTAACTTGAACTCGTCACTCATACAGTGCAAAAGGATGCAGTGAAAGCTCAACAAGGAATGGGATCAAATTATACCCTCCCAAGGCTATTATTGATGATGAATCGTTGATAGAATCACGCTCCGCATGTTTGACCATGTCTTCCCTGTTTATGGCAGCTTCATACTCATCCTCAATGTGTAGCTAATGATCATACATTTTTATGCATATCTACCTGATATTTATGTAATTGATCCATTACTTAAAAAGAGGATATGGAAGAGCCACTGAGAGAGGATATATTGCGTCGTTGACTTCTTGGAAGTGTTGCAAGTATGAACTAGCTTAAAGGATTTGCGTAGAAATGTTGGCAAAAGATATCTTTACATCCTTCAAGTCCAAGGATTGTTGACATAGCGCATGCTCCATATTTACATCATCCTTCCCACTCTACATAATGACACTACAAACAAATGTCACGTGCAAAGAGTATTTTATTCAGACCCAAAAACAAATAATGACCAGCTTTTCCATGCTCAGGTTCTAGTGATAACCAATAGGAGCCGGAGCTTCCCGCAGCTCTCGCCCTTGACAATGTATGTCCTGCAATTCATCATCCACAAACAACGTCAGTACTATAATCCCATAATACATTAACCAAAGCAATTTATTATTTTGGTAATTTGGCCCCCACAATATCCGAACCAGCTCTCCAGTCAAACATCACTTCAAGGATAAAACAAAGCTGACCAGCCGAATATTAAAACCTGTAAATACTATAAAATAGCACACATCGCTCGACAACTGGGCCAGTTCCTCAAGTGCTTGGCCCATTGTAAATTTCCATATCTTAGATCCAGAAAGGTATCTGACTATACCAATCCAGCAATTTAAATATTCAGAGAGAGGAAAAACGTACCGAAGCAAAGTGGTTGACATCCCGGTGGTGGGCTTCATCGGCTCTGACGACCATGACGACATCTCTCAGAGTGGCGTCAGGCGGAAGCTGCCAATAGTCGATGGCAATGGCCGGGGCTGGGACATTCTCTATATTGCCCTTGTCCAATTCCTTGAGGAACTCGGTGTAGGAGTGAATAGCCTCCTCCTCCAGGTACCCCACCATGCGGTGTGCGAATTTAGGGGACAACAGATAGCCCAAGAAGTAAGCGTTGAAGAACACACCTTGGACGGTTATGACCAGGGCTCGTTCATACCACCTGGGCTTTGACACCTCCATGAACGTCATTAAGTGCATACGCTCGTTCTCTGCCTCTTCTAACAGTGCCTTGATCCAGCCCCCACTGTGCTCGAACCGTCTCAGCGACTTGCAGTGCAGGAGCATCCCTCCTACCATGCCCGGTACAGCTGCCACTGTCTCCAGCATCATTGCTCGGCATCCATACCGTGTCTGTTAGATTTGTCCACACAGCATTAAGGCAACGTGAGGATACAGAACGTATATAAATAGAGTTTCCGAATTTTATACAATATGCTAAAGAACTGTATAGCTTGAGGTCAGAATCTTTAAGCTTAGTATAGAAATTTTAACAGGAGAAAATGATATGATCCGATAGTTTTCTTCCAATGTCAGATATATTGCTAAGAGAACCCACTATAAAATCTAATAAGAAGGAACATAAATGATACTTTAACCATTGAATACTGGATTACAGGTGTTCCTACTCGTGTCATAGTTGTTAGAAAAGTTGACAGAGACAAATGAGTTCCCTGCACCAACTCTGCAATTTGTTTTTTCGGGTGTCCGCATAAAAGAAATAAAAGGAAGGTCAAGAAGTCTATTTATTCCTTCTTTTTTCCTTTTTTTTAAATAAACTGTTTAGTCATTCCCTTCTCGATCAATATATTTGGGCCGACAGATAATACCTCTTTAAGAGTCAAGACTCGATACAAAAATTATTGGGCCTGATGTGCAACGTTTTTTGCAACCGACAATAAAGCATAATCACATACATCCGAGAGAATGGTAAGCCATCACTTTATCAGATTCAAGAATCAACTGACCTAATTAAAATGCCAAGAAAAAACATAATTTTGAACCTTTATATTTTTTTTCAGTTTTATAGATCCCTACATTTTTATTTTTCAGTGTTGCCTAAATACTGAAAAATAAAAATATAAAGACCTTAAACACTGAAAAAAAAAAGTATAAGAACCTATAAAAAAATATGATTAAAGTGTAAAAATTTAAAGTTATGTTTTTCAAATATCAATTCTAAACATACAATACAAACACCAACCGATTAAATGCTACTCATTTGATTTTTTTTATAAATTATTTCTATCAATTTCATCAATTGCAATGCGAAAAAATAAAAAAAATAAAAATATATAAAATTTTAAATATACTCCTATATAAAAAATATAAAAAATAATATTATATTATTTTTTTTCTTATGAAGAGTAATTTTAAAAATATTTTTTAAATATTATTTAAAAAATAACACCGTAATTTATAAATAAAATCAAATATATTTTTTTAAAATGTGCTTTATAAATAAAATTAAAATCGGAGGGAGTGCATAACACGTAAGTTATACATATATAAACATATTAATAATCATTTTATAAACTTTACTTTTTAAATATGAATCTTAACTTTTCTGAGCTTGGACTAGATTGAAACTTGAAAGCCAATCCTAGGTATTTTTTATTTCAATTTTATTGTTAAAAATATTTATTTTCACGGTTTATAATTTAGGTCGAGAAACCTTCAATCTCCAATAAAAATTTTACAAGATTTTTTTAAGGAAAAAACGGTCTTCAATCTCGATCGATTCAGACTTCAGTCCGATTATAGTGGATAACTGAATAGAATTTTTCAGTCATCTAATACCTCCATACGTCATAAGCTACATTAGGTCGTTCTGGAATCAAATTATATACATTCTGTTTCAAACTGACAAACTGAACCGAATACGCAAGATCACCATTCTAGGGGAACTAAAAAAACAAAAATCAAGAAAATTTTGCAGATACTGACCTTTTATAAGCCATGTTGTGTATGAATAGAAGCAGGACTACGGAGAGAAACGGTCTAACTTGGAATTTGGATGATTGCAGAAGAAATACTGTGCATACCTGGAAGAATATGTCCGTGGGCCATCTGAGAGCCTTGACGGTCCAATAAGCCATCTTGTCCATAAATGTCACCGGCGCATGGTGCTTCTTCAGATCAATCGATAAGTCAGCCTTGTACGTCTCCCATGGCTTCATATCAAAAACATCACGCACAAATTATCAATAATCCCATCCAAATCGATCAATAACAAAAGCGTGCAAAGAGAAATCAGAGAAATGAAATGCATACCCTAAAACAATTCCACTTCCATTCCGTACCGTCCGGTTTCGTGATTTTCGAGCTTTCAACGCCCCAATAACTCACCACCCCCTTCTCGCCTTTGTTCCCACCCACACTGCTATCGCTTGAAGCAGTGGCCAACGGATCCTGCTTCGCCTTCTCTTCCACCGACAAAGTGCTCGAATTCCGCACACTTCCACCGTGGATTAACGGAACCCTTAGCCAGTAACCCAGATTCGATCGGCTTGCCCCAACCTGATTACCAAAGCCGTTGGCTACATTAGAGAACACCGGCTCACTGGCCACAGCACGAGTGGTTGAACCAGCGGCTGAGAAGAAACGCGATCCCACTGCTACGGCGGCTCTGCGGGTAACAACACCATGGCTCATCATTTTCAGAGGAACCCAAGAATGTGGGATATGTAAGGACCTGTAAAGAGCGTTTGTTTTCCAAGGAAATAGAAGAAAGTAGGAGGAAAAGTATTTGCTGTTTGGTCACAGTTGTGAGGGGGAAGAATTTGTAGTTGGCTTTTATACAACATAGAGAGAGTCGGTTTCGAAGTAATTAAATGCTAATTGGAGGGCTTGGGGTTTACGAGAGGTTTAGAACCTTAGAAACGTGGCTCCCAGGTAAGATCCTTGATATTTCGTCCCGATATTTCTAGACCCGCCTTCGTGATTAATTAAATTTGGTCCTCATATTTGGGGATAATTTTCGCAGCCCAGGTCAAAATAACGACGACAGGTTTGACGATTTTGTAATTGAAGACCGCGACCAGGGTGAATTCAATTATTATTTTTTTGGTAAATTTTTTTTTAATCATTTTGGCAGTACATCATTCCATCTCCTGGCTGGCGGTTGTACTACTCCACATCTAATCCCTCCAATAAAAAAAATAATAAGACATATTTTTAAGTAAGGTATTTTAAATTTTTTTAATGTATAATTAATGAAATTAAAAAATATATTTTAATAAATAAACTACTCAATCATTTGTTTTCAACTTTAAGTAAGACATATAAAGGTAAAAAAATTGTGTTGTTTTAAAGATGATTAATTAATGAATTAAAGAGAATAAAAAACCTTGGGTCTTTTAACGAAGGAGTACATTACAACAAATCGGAAGTACTTAGTGTGTTAAATTACAAATATTAATTAATAATTAACAACTTTGGTCAAATAAAGTTGGCATTTCTTGGGGACCAAGACAAGAAGGTTAGGTTTTCGTGTGGTCGACGCAAGCCAGCAAATGCGCGGCGAGACACAGCCCAGGCAGTTTGTGTGGACGAGGCCGAATATTCCGGTTTCCCCTTATAATAATAATGAATTTAATAATTTAATTTAATCAACACTTGTTACGTAATATGAATTTAATAAACACTATTTTTTTGGTAATTGGAAGATGATAACGATACAACGTATATAATTTTATATTCATAGTGTCATCGATGATCAAGAAAAAGATTACTATATATCACGTTAAAAGTTATTCAACGTTCATTTAGAAAAATTATTATTATAACTTTTAAAATTATTTTATCAAGTTAAGTTTTTTTTAAATAAAAGTGTGTCATTAACTTGTTATAGTGTAGATAAAGTATATGTTAGTTCTTTAATTTTATTATAAAATTTTATTTTAATTACTTAATTTTATAAAGTATATTTTTAATCATTTAACTCTAACACCATTTGTTTTAAATTATTATTTTTTCTACCGACGACGATTGTTATTTTAAAAAATTTAAACTTACTAAATCAATATTTAAACATTTTTGTTAATATTTAAAATTTTAATGTTAATTTTTTTATAATGAAATTAATGATATTAGAATTAAAAATTAAAAATATATTGATTTATAATTAAGAAATTAAAATAAAATTTTATATAAAATTAAAAAATTAAAAACATACTTTATTTTTATATTTTTGGTAAGTACAGAAAATAATGGAATTGCCTCCAGTGAACCACCCCCCCCCCCCCCAAAAAAAAAAACAGACAAAAACAACCACTGACAGGATGGCGGAATTGGCCGAGCATTCTTTGTTTAGAGAATTTCATTATAAGACCAGATCCATGATTTTCTTTCAAATCAATCACAACTACTTCCACTTAAAAATATAAGATATTTTTTTAAAATTTCAAATTATATTTTTATAATAAAAAAACTAAAATGCCATTTAATTAATTTTTATATAACTTCACCTATTATTTTAATAACGTTATTTGTTAACTCATAAATGAACTTTTTCTGTGGCCAAAATATAAATGAACTTGTTAAAATATACATTATGTATATTCAATATTATTTCATAACAATCTAAAGCAGATTTATTAAAACCTTAACTTAACTTATTATTTTAATAATATTACTTGTAAATTTAATAAAAGAACTTGACAACAACACATATTGCATATTCAATCTTATTAACTTATTACAATATAAAGTAACCTACTATTTTAGTAATGTTATTTGTTAACTCAATAAATAAACTTGTTACAGTATACATTTGGCATATTCAATGCTATTATGTAACAACATAATGCAGACTTGTTAAAATTATAACTTTATTTGTTACTTTAGTAATTTTATTTGTTTGAAATTTTACTCGTTGCAAAAAATTAATTGGACAGCATTTTAGTTATTTCCCTATAAAACATAATTTAAATTTAATCTTTTAATATTGCAATGTAATTTCAAAATTGTTTGGGATTTATTTAAAATAAAATCACATCTTTGGTCCTTGAATGAAATTCTCCCTTTTTTTTTTTTTTGCTTGCAAGAATCTCATTCAAGATGATATATTTATGTGTCATGAAATATAACATGAAATTACACCACAAGAGGTTGAGTTCAGATTGAAATAAAGTAACCAAAGTATCCCTCTTATAGCATGTTGGTGCTAACTTTACGTGTTAAATCAAATCGGTGTAATGAGTTAAATTTATTATAAGTTATTATTATAACTTGTGAACTCAATTGCATTAATTGTTAATACTGCTGTGTTACTTGTTATGTCCAATATATTGTAGTTAACATAATTATTAATTCTTGAAAAGACTTGTTCATCTCATATGCCTGGCACAAAATCAACAAGTAATGTAGGGGAATTGATAAAAAAAATTATGAAATCAATAAGTCCTCTTAAAAGAGTGATCCAAAGGTTAATTACAATATGCTAAAATAAGCATATCTGGATGACTTTGCTTTAGAATTATATTTCACTTCAAACTCAAGATCTTGTAGTAGAATTTTAGATTGCGTTGGACCTTATTCATAAATATGTCACATATGTAGTTTCTAGATGAAATTCTCCCTCATTTATTTTCTTTCTTTTTGGCCAAAGAGAATATTACTCTTTAAAATATTCTCTCAGATCACAATACAAAACATTATGTGTAACATCCCAATTTAAATTTTAATAGTTAATTTGAGTTAATAGAAATTTAAAAAAATATTTAGAGGTAAGCAAATTAGTAGAAAATGATTATTAAATCTAATTTATGATATAATTCTAAAAAAAATTAAAAAAAATTAATTATTAATTAATTAAATAATAAATAAATATTATTAAATTATTATTATTATTTTAAAAAGAAAGAAAGAGAAAAGGTATGGAAAAAAAAAGGGAAGAAGAAGTGAACTTTCACTGCTCTTCCGATAATGATTATGTTTATATAATTAAAAAAAGAAGAAGAAGAAGAGAGAAGAAAGAGTAAATAAAAAAAATGTGGGACCCACAGTATTTTTTTAAAAACCCATCCCTCCTTCTTCGTTTCCTCATTTCTCCCTTTTTCATTTCTCTTCGTGCGCGAACAGAGGGGGCGACGGTGTGCAAGTTCGCCGATGCTGGGTTTTAAGGTAAGAGTTTTTAATAAGATATTTAGGATGTGATTTTAAGCTTTTTAAGACTAAGTAAGTGTTTTAAAATTTTTTTTTAGTCATCCTTCTTCCTTGGTTTCTGATTTTATAGTGGTAGAAAATTTAAGATCTAGAAGAGGGATGAATTTATGTTAAATAAATATGGTTTTTGAAGTTGTTAGTAGTATAATAAATATTCTAGAGTATAAATTTATTGGTGATCTTTGAATTTGTGGCTTATGGATCAAATTCTAGACTAGATCTGAAAATATATGTTGATTTATTGAGGTTTAGATGATTATTGGGATGAGAAATGAATTATTATGGCTATAGGATTATGATTCTAAGTTAGAGACTTAATTTTTAATTTTTGAATATTTTAGGTACGAATTTATGAAATAAAAAGAAAATTTTGATAATAAAAATTAGTTTAGAAGTTGATTTTTAGATTATTAATATTTATTGATAATTAAAAGAGGAGTTAAAAATTTTACTTAATAGTATTGACTCTAGATTTGTATTAAGATTGAGATTAGGAATTATGTTATATTTTTAATTCTATTATTAGAATTATTTTATTAGTTTCAAAAAAAATTGAAACTAATATTTATAAATAATATGTTATTTGTAGATTGTATTATTGGTGAAGATAGTGGTGGGAGAGAAATTGTAAGGAATAATTTATTGAAAAAGCCACGAGGTAACCATGCTTTTAATTTGTGATTTGTGTTACTTCATGTTAATTGGGTGATTATTGAGAAAATTATAAATTTTGTAATATTATATAATTGTGCAATATTATTATGAATTTATTTGATTATTGTGGGAGGTGTTGGGAGACTTACTATTATTGTTGTATTTATGTGCCACGTGGTACGCCCCTATTGGAGTTCAATAGGTGGCTTGTAAGGGCTTGAGCTAATCTACCTTTGGCCGGGTAATTTAGCACCGAGTGAGGGCTATGGCTCGAGGTTAATGGAGGGATATAAGGATGGTTGTTTGTGTGTATTGTAATATTTCTTATATTTGTTGGAATTATATTATTTTTAATTTTCACTTAGTAAGCACACACTTAACTGTTTGTATACACTATCATAAATTGGCTTTGGTTACTGGGACTTTTGAGTCTCATTATGTGGTTAACAATTTTCAGGAGAAGAGCCACGAGTGACACGGGGAGAAGTCCTAAAGGCTTAGTGGTATAGATCCACTGTCTCTTTTGGGTATTTAATTTATGATTTATAATGTGATATATTGCTAATATTAAGACTTTTTGTTTATTGTCAATTATATGAATATATAAATGTAATCATGCCTTTCAAACTATTTTTATTTTTGATACAATTTGGATTATTGTAATTTTAATATTTGATTTACTTTGGATTGGTTAAAATGGCATGATTATAAGACCAAATAACTGGTTTATGTTGAAAAATGACTAAATTACTTATTTTACTTGTTGGGAGTATAAGGATGGACAAATGTGATTTAGTTTACTTGTTGAGAGTATAAGGATGGACAAATGTGATTTAGCCTAATGGCAAGTGGGAGGTAAAAATTTATCTGAAATGTTATAGTGTGTGAGTTGAAGCCAATTATAAAATATTTTATATTAAAATTATTAATATAAGAATGTGTTGGGTGGCTGTAATCCAACTATGGTTGAGTTAAATTATTTAAAAAAAAATTTGGTGTGTTACATTATGTAATTTTTATAATTTCTTTTTAATTTTATTATTATTTCATTT